TTTTACTTAGAAAGTATATTGCTAAAATTAATTGTTAAAATTTTATTATAAAAATTAATTTTAAAAAAATTACGCAGGCAAATTTGCCTGTGTTACAATCTAAGGGATAGATAAAGATTTTAACACAAATCTAAACCTTACAAAAAAACAAAATAAGCCAAGCAATAGCACAAAATAAAAGTTTCCAAACACTTCTAAAAACCTTCATAACAGAATACATTGACATAGCCATCTGCTTTAAAGAAGAACTATTTCTTACATTTTATCAGTCTACATACAGAGGCCAAAGAATGACAACCAGGCTAGACTATATCTATATTGAAGACAGCTATAGCCACTTATGTAAAAACATCTCTACACACTATAGTAACTTAAACCATTTATTAATTAAATGTAAACTCAGTTTAAAACCAAAGCATAACAGCAACCCAATATGAAAATTTAACAAAAAATGCTGAAGTATCCTAGAACTCAAATTTAACATAATACAAGAGCTACAGAATATTTAAAATATAGCCAACTGAGACCTATAAAAGTGCTCAATTCAATTTATTATAAGATCATTCAAAAGTCAAACTTCATCAGAAAAAAAAATACAAAAACTACACAAAAAAATATGTAGTCTAAACAACAAAATAGCTAAAAACCCTAACCTAAAAGAGTTCAAACTAAATGGCAAGTAAGATCCAATCCAAAATGGATAAAAGAAGGAGAAAAATCTACAAAATACTTCTATTTGCTATACAAAACTAAGTATTTATTAGACTGTAGCTTCAAAATCAAAGACCCAAACAGCCCAAATGAAACTTCATAAACACAACTCATAAATTTTATTAAGGAGTTCTATTAGAAACTTTACAAAAGTGAAAAAATTGATGATGTCACTGAACAAATTACAAATAAATTGACAAAAATTACAACTTAGCAGAACAATTAGTTAGAAAAACAAATAACAAAAGAAAAAATTAGCCAGATAATAGATAAACTTCTGAACAATAAGGCTTTAGAAACTGATAACCTAACATATGAATTTTACAAAGATATAAAGAAAACAATTCTCTTAACACTTACCAATCTGTTTAATCAAGTACTAAAAACAGGCCAAATCCCAGTCTTATGAAACATAAGCCTCATAACACTAATTCTTAAGAAATCAGATAACCTCTCTAATATAAATAACTAAAGGTCTATATTACTAGTAAACTTAGATGCCAAAATCTTTATGAAGCTTCTTGCAAACTGAATCAACTCCATTTGTGACAAAATTATTAGTCTAGCATAACAGGTCTTTATTGCCAATAGAACTATTGCAGATGCAGTATTGGATGTACTAGTAATATTAAGAAACCAGAATAATCAATCAAAGCAGTACTGGTTACTGCTTTTGGACTAGCAAAAAGCCTTCAATAAAGTTAATCATCACTTCTTACAAATTACATTTAACAAAATGAACTTTGGACAAAAATTTATTAAAGTGATAAGTTCACTTTTTATTAGCCAAAATGCACACATAGTTGATTCAGAATACATCTCAGAGCCTTTTAGAGTAGAAAGAGGAGTTAGACAAGGTGATTCTCTCTTACTATTGCTTTATGTCTTAGCTATTAACCCACTTATCAGTACAATTAATAAAGAAATTAAAGAAATCCCAGTTAATAAGGCAAAATTTAAGATCGCAGCATATGTGAATGATATCTCTTTGGGAATTGGATCTTTATCAGACTGAAATAAAACTCTAGAAATCTTACACAAATATGAGAAAGCTTCAAATACTAAAATTAACAAGACCAAATCAATTCTAATATTTATCACATCTAATGCTAAAAGAGTTGAACTTTCTGGTCAACTAGATTTTAAAATACTTAACAATGATCAAAGCTCTATAACAATACTGGGCTACAACATTTACATAAAAGAAAATTCAAAAAAGTCTACTTGAGAAAATCTAACAAAAAAAATTAAAAATAAAATTAACAAACTTTCACAAAGAAACTTTTTTTTTAAGAAAAAGATTCTAGTAGCCAAAACTTTACTTATTTCTAAAATATAGTATCTGGTATACCTCCTACTTCTAACAAGAAAGCAACTAAACAAAATTAATTAATTACTAACAAACTGGATAAAAAGAAACTCCAGAATGCTGCCTTAATACTTAGTATTTTAGCTTATCTATAAGCAAGATAGGCTTTCTGCTCCTATTCTAAAAGACATGCTAAATGCCAGGCTACTCTCAACATGGCTTAAACTTCTGTTAAGCAACACATTCTAGGCTATTACAGAAAAAGATACTATAACCTCGGACCTATATAAAAAAAGAAACATTTCAGTATTGAATACATTAACACAACTACTACTCAAAACTAAAGGCTGAACTGATAGATAGAGACCCTACTTAAATGCATGAAAAAGATTTAAGAGAAAATAGAAGTCAATCAAACCTGGTCTTGGCTTCTAGAAAAAATCAAAATAGGAAATATAACAGGCAATCTATACAAGATCAAAAGAGCTCTGAAAAGTCTTAACACTACAATAAATCTCAAAAAAGGCTAGTTTAAATAGTTAAACATAAAAGAAGTTCTCAACAAAAAAAAGATATAATGTGGCATCTTGCTCACTAAGCACTTCCTATAGGATATCAGCTTATACATATTAGTCAAAACAACTTAGGAGATTGTTCTAACTACTTACATACTAACCAATCACTTAAACACTTTGTTCTAAAGTGTCCTCTCAGTAAGAAAATATAGGAAGCAACTTACAAATTCCTCAAATTCACAGCTAAACCTACCCTTTCTACAATAGATAATATTTTACAAACTACTAATATAACCTTGGTTAAAAAAGAAAAGCAGCCATCTGGATTCATATGAACATTTTATATGAAATATGGTGCTAGTATACTCAGGCTAGATAGGGTAGCAAAACTAGGAAATTACCAACTAGAAATAGAGAACTTGAGGTTCATAAAACAAACTTTATAAAATATGTAATTCTATAATAATTAAATAATTACAAATAAAATGTATGCTTAAATGCATTTTTGAAAAAAAAAATTATTAATATTTTGAGTTATCATTAAAATAAAAAACCTACTAACTTGCTAACTCAAAAATAATTTACAAACTAACCAATTATGATTAAGCGATCTTTATACTAGTGTTAAACATCATAAGTGTAATATATACTTATTGTTTTTTATATTTATAAGTATTATACTTATTTATAAATTATTTTGATAAAATTTTTTTTAAATCTTAAAAAAAATTATTTTATATATAAAATAATATAACAAACATTTTTACTTAATAAACAAAATATAGTTTGTATAATAAAAAAAAAGTTATAAATTAAAAACCATATAATTTAAATAGTTTTTATAATTTTTTTTTTTTTATAGCAGTCATGCTAATATTTTTATTCAAATGACTTTTCAAAACTACAACAAAAAAAAATAAAATAAAAAAAACAAACAAAACTTTTTTTTGTTCATCACTAATTAGAAAAGGCAAATAGAAAATCATAATCATAAAATTATCAAATAGAAACCTAAACTCTAAAAATAAGATACTATTAAGAGCTAAAGCCCTTGTTCTAAGAAAAAGAAAAATTTCTCAATTAGTAGAATCTTTAGTAACTAAAAAAATCTTTAAAATAAGAAAACTTGATGAAAAAAAAGAAGAAAAAGAAACTAACAACTTATTTACAAAAAAAAAAAATGAAGCAAAGCTTGATAATATGACTACAGCTCAAGAAAAGATATTAGCAATAGAAGAAGATTTAGTTCTAGTAGTAGTAATCCAAAACAAAGAAAACTGGCTAAAAAATATTGACCAAAATAAAAACAACTCTTGGGCTTTGAAAAACACATATAATACTATAAAAGAAATAAACAATAAAAAAGAAAACAACAACAGAAACAGTTATATGTTAAATGAAAAACATGACAACAACATCTTAGATAATCAACTAGCATACAAGCTACACAAAGCTATGCATTAATCACTAAACAAGACATGAGCTTGTCTGCTAAGTTGAAATAAGAAAAATCAATCTTTGTTGCATTTTCTTCTAAAAATCAAATTAGATCCAAAAACAACAATGCAGTAATTGTTAAAATTGCAGAGCTTTATAATTCTTTTAATAAAATCATGATTTCTTTATATAAGGACATAAGAAAAGACATAGTTGCAGTTAAGCAATACTTTAAAAAAGGCTTAAGGACCTATCTTGAAATCATATTTCCAAACCAGGATTATCTTATGCATTATGCAACTAACAAAATCAAAATTTTTAAAGAAACATACTATAGATATATTTCTACAGATGCACACAAATTCTTTTTGCCAGTCAAGATTAGAAATATGCCTCTAAATGCAAAAGAACATATTTCTAACCAGATCAAAAAGGCCTTTTAAGACTTTAAAAAAATTGTATCTATTAAATTATTGCTTATTGAAAGTATACTATATCTAACAGACCAATGGATAGGTATCTTTGATAATACAGATGATCTAGAACTTGAAAAAAGAATTCCTTGCTTTATCTATATAGAGAACAACAGAATAACTACGGAATAGAAAAAAGCTCCTAAAGTATATTACTTCTATAATCAAACTGACCATATCAAGAAAAACTATATACAATTTTAAGAAGCAAGAAATCTAAAAAAACATTATCAAATATATAAAAATAGAAATTCCTAGTGAAAACTTATTTGAACATACTAAGAACTTCAATGAAAAAACTTTTGCAATACAAAAAACAATACAAAATACTAACATGAAACCAGAATTCTCTCAAGAACAAACAACTTTCTTGGAGAAAGAAATGCAAAAAAACAACATGATTATTAATACAGAAACTCTATCTTTAGAAGAAGGAAATATAGATGACTTTACAGAAAATATGATTTTAGAAGAAACAACTGCAGACCTTCGAAGTTTTTAAACTAAATATTAAGAAAATACAGAAAACACACCCTTTACTTTAGTCATATATAAAAAAAGAAGATACAAAGAATCAAGACCCTATAAGACTTCTAACAAAAAAAACCAACAAGAGGAACTAGGACAAAGAGCATGAAATAGTTTCAAAACTTACTAGTTTTATCATGAACAATACATTAATTAAGATAGTTATCCTAAATATTAAAGGGTTAAATAATATAGACAAATGACTTAAAACTTTGATACTTTTAAAATCTTATAGACTAGATATTATTCTTTTACAGAAAATGAATATTTTTAACAATATAACTCAATAATTCTTAAAAAATCAATAGTCTTTTAATTCAGTCTAAATAGACAGAACAGCAATTCTAGCAGAAAACAGAGAAATAAAATTTGAAGAAACCAAGATATTACAAGAAGACAAAATAATCTCCATCTGTTTTACCTTCAAGAAGTTTTCTTTTTATATAATTAATGTTTATGTTTTACCAAACATTTTGGATAGAATCTCTTTTTTTGACAACTAGGCAATCAAAAAGAAAGATAACATAATTAACATTCTGGCAAAAGATTTAAACACAAATTTAGACCTAGAAGTTAATAGAATAAGCTAAGCAAATGCTTAAAATAATCTTTCAAGGTTACTTCTTAAGAGTATTGTAAAGGATTTCATAGATTCTGCATCCTTTATATTTTAGAATTCCTTTTATACCTTTCATCAAAAAACATATAACAATCAAATGATAGCTATTTGATTAAACTATATTTTTATAAATGAGAACTATAGTTATCTAAATTCAGAAACAAAAACAAGATTTGGAAATTTAGATCATCTATTAATTGAATATGTTCTAAGTTTAAACAAGAACCTAGACACTTAGCTTTCTGGAAACTCTTTTAAAAACAATGTTCTAAAAAAAGAATTCCTAGATAAACTTCAAGAAGTTAACTCTGCAGCAAACTGAGATATGCATAAAGTTTATATAAAATCTATTATAAAAGCCTTAAGGCACTAGAAGATAAAATAGAAAGACTAAACAAAAAAGTTAGTCAAACAAAAAAAGCCATAGCCAAAAATCCTAACCAGACTCATCTTTTTACTATATTAGATATACTCAATTCACAAATTCAGTTTGAATTAACAGAACTAGCAAATAGATGGCAATAATGTTCAAAAGCAAACTGGATAAAATGAGGAGAAAAATCTACCAAATACTTTTATATTTACTTTAAAGCTAGAAAGTCATATACAGCTTTGGCAAAAATACAAATACCCTTTACTCAAGAACAATATAACAGTTAGATAACATGTCGAAGATGATAATCATTACATTTGCACATATATAAAAAAATATCAAACTTTAATAGTAAAAAATTCATAAAATATCAGGTTTTTTTGAATTTATGAAACACTAAGATGTTGTACACAACACCCTTTTTAACTATAATATTCTTGCTGCTTCTAACTAACAGCTGTATAAATTTCATCTGTAGTTAAAAAGATAGTTTATAATAATAGCAAAATTATAGATGCAAAATATTTCGAAGGATTTTGTATAGTGCAAAAATTTTGAAATAATGCAAAAGAAATTTCAAAATTTTTGTGAAATGCAAAAAATATTTCGAAATAATATGAAATAAATTGCAAAATTATTGCACTATAAAAATTTTTGCAATATTGTGAAAAAAAATTTCAAAATTAATGTGCTGCGAAATTATTTTGAAATATAGCAAAAAAATTATCTAAACTGTGAAAGACAAAATAATAAAAAATAAATAGAAATTATTTTGAAGTATGCAAAAATATAATGAAATATTTTAAAATAATTTAAAATATTTCAAATTTTATTAAATTAAAAAAATAATAATAAAATTAATATTTAATCATAATATAGTAAAATTAATTTTAAATAAAATTTTGACTAATAGCAGAAAGTTTACTAATATAAATTATTTAATAAAGTAAATCTCTAAGTAGATAATAATATAGTATATTTATTTTAAATAATTTTTATTATCACTATATACATATGCAATAATATTACAATATGTTAAAATAATTTGAAATATTGCGAAAATTTTTTAAAAATTGTGAATATGAAATAAATAAAAAAAGTAAAAGAGAAATAAATCAAAAATTGACAAATTTTTAAGAAGTTTGCATATTTATAAAAATTTTTAAATAAAATTAAACTATAATAACACATAAAAGCTCTTTATTAAAGTTTATCTAGATTATAAAAAATGTATTAAATTTGATAAAATAACTACTAAAATATCTAGAATATCTTGATAAATTTTTAATATATTTACATACTTTTAAAAAATTTTGAATATCTTAACAATGATTCAAAATGATTTAAAATATTTTGAATTATTATAAATTAATTTAAAGTATTGAAAAATATTGCTAAAATCTATATTTAAAATCTTTTGCATTGTTTGCTACTTATTAATTTAAAAAATATTATTGTTAAACAATAAATTAGCCATAATTATTCATTATATTATAATTAAATAAATATTTTTGTATTAAATAATTGATTGCATAAAAACGTATATTAAAAATTAAAGCTATATTTAAAGATAGGGGTGACATAGATCATTTTTATTAGTAATTTTATAGCAAATCATATGATATCATATGATTTATATATAAAAATTTGGTTATGTTACACAAATTTCCTATATAAATCTTGTGTAACCCAGGAAACTCATAAGCTGACCCAGGCAAACTTAGTAATATATAAAGTATTTTTTTTTTAAATAAAATAAATTATAAAATTTTATCAAAATAATTAGAAGATATAGATTTATATATTATTAAATTTTGGTAACAATTGAATATAATACTAAAAAGTTTTATTAGTAATATATTTTATTTTATATATAAAATTTTATTTGCTAGGAAAATCATATGACAAATGATCTATATCACTCTTATTCTTAAAAACAATAAATGATGCAAATATGCATATAATTGAAAAACTTTTCTAAATATAGTTAAAAGATTACAAGCAAATTAAATTATTTTAAAGTATATTGAAAACACTAAAAATAGTAAATTAATTAAAATTTATGTCAATATTCAAATAAAAGCAAAACAATTCAAAATTATTAAAAGACAAAAATTTTGAGTATGCTAAAAGTATTTAATAAAATGTAAAATATTTTGAATAAATTTAAATAATTTAAATTATGTAAAATAGAAAATAAAATATTAAAGATTAACAAATATATTAAAAATACTTCAAAATAATTAAAGTATGCAAATTAAAATAATTAAAATCAAACTTTAATTATATTAAAACAGTTTAAATTAATATGAATTTATTTGAATACATAGAATTATTTTAATAATAAATAAAATATGCATATTAATTTATAATTATTTAAGAATATTAAAATTGCTTTGAAATAATTAAGCATATAAAATATAAATAGAAAGAAAAATTCTTTTACAATTCTATATTTTTTTCACAAAATAAATTTTTACTTCTTAAATTTAATATTTCTAAAATTTTCAAGAATTTACTGATTATTAAAATATTCTAAAAAATTTCACAAATATTCACATATTTTTTCAGAATAATAACTATTTTTTTTATAACTTTCATTTTTATTATTATCTTTTTTCATTATTTTATTTTTTATTTTTTTATTTTTTTTCATTTTAACTTATTACTTTTTTTATTTCTTCTATTATATTTTTATATTTTATTTTTTAATATTTTTAATACTCTTTAAAACATTTTAAAAACTTTTAAAATAAGAGAATAATGATCCTAGTGTAGTGGTTGGGTTGTCATCCTCTAAGTGACAGGTCTAAGGTTCAAATCCTACCTATGACAAATTTTGGAAATTATAACTGTATTATGGTAACTGTCTTCTGTAGATCAGTTGGCTTCATGTAGCTGTTACCCAGATACACCAAGTTGGATCTCTCTGATATTGAAAGCTCAAACATCTATATGAAATATAATGTTACATATACATAGAGAAATATTAACTGGTGTTGCATAAGACTTTGATGCAAACCTACATTAAGACCATCAGGCATAAAAGACTAAGAAATTGAGGTGACAGAAATCCACTTAGAAATTCTTGAATAAAGAGATAGCATGAACTTTCAATAGTACCATCAGACTAGTTGAAGTCTATAAAACATCTTCATAAAACTGAAAATTAAACCAGACATCAAATATATGTAGAGAAGCATATAACCAACCAGGCTGCCAGATTTACTAGAGAAACAGGATACATAAATATACTACACTGGACTATCTGGATTGGTAGTCTGGAATAAGACCATAGTTCTAAGTTGTGACTAGTAGAAGATGATGAAGAAGATGCCAGAAAAATAGGTACTAGGGCTCTAGTAAACTTTACAAGAGTAGAAATAGTATAATATAGTAGTTAAATAGGTAACCTCTGTGACTGTAAGTGTTAGGTAACTATAGCATGTTGCATAAAACCAGGTCTATGTATAGGACATAAAGGCTCTAGTAAGTTTCCTATTAAGAATAAAGTAGTCCTAAAAGTAACAATAAGTATCGAGAACTTGGATAGGTGTAGCCTTAAGATGTTCTCATAATACAAAGAGAATTGCATATGCAGAGAGTTTAAATAGGCAAGACCCTCTAATTGGCTTGTAGACATGGCAACTAGTGTAGAACTTATATAGCAATGTGTAAGTAAACTACTTAAATTAGGTACCAAAAGTGCATGTGTGGCTAGTTGTAACCTCCAATATAAGAGAGCCTTTGGAGGCACCTGTTTTTTAACAAAACTTGAATAAAATATCACATTACCAAAATAAGAACTTTAACTATAAAAAAAAAAAAAAAAACTTTCAAAATATTGCACAAATTATTAAAATGCCTAAAATCACCAAGAAACAATTGAAATCTAAACAAGTTTTTGCCAAATTGATTGCAAGATCATTATTGCAAACAACTGAAGAAGTATCTACAATAAGCAGTGATGTCTCAACATCTGTTAGAAGAGCAGCTGAAACTTCTGTAAATATTGAAACAGCTAGTTTTGCTAGAAGATCTTCTATAAAAGTTGAAAGTATTATGCATCTTCCTGAAGGTTATAAAATTTTTGTGAATATAACTTTTAATATAATTTATATAAATAACTTCAATGTGTTATTTAATGTTTTATATAATTCAGAAAATCTTCTTTCAAAAATTTTCGATAAGCTTACTGAATTATTCAAAAAGTTAATAGAATTGAAAAACATCTAAATGAATTAGATAATAAAATTAATGAATCATATAATTTGTTACAAGAATCAGATTTTATCAAAATATTTAAAATAGTTTTTATAATTTTTAAAAATATTTGCAATTATTTAAAATAATAATATTTTTTTTGAATTTTTAGCAATTAGTTAAAGCTATTGCAAAGGATGTAATTAAATATTTGATTTATTCTTCCAAAGAAGAACTAAGAGAGGCAACAGAAGTTTGAATGTCTAAAAATCATCAAGAATATTATACATCAATGTCAAATAAAGTATAAAAAACATATAATAAAAACATTGCAGGGTTAGTAAATATCCTTTAATAATATTTGAATTAATGTGAATATATTCGAAAATTAGAAAAGTATTTTAAAAAATTTAAAATGATTTAAAAATTTTGAAAACTAAATATAATTTTATTATAATAT